AGGACTAGATGGCTTTTCCAACATATTTTCTAGCCAAATATCGAGACCATCGCCACCTTCATCGTCGGACTCACCGGGGTTAATAACCACTTCCGTATCACTGCTATGCCGCGCCAACCTGCGCCAACCTCTGCGCGCGTACCTGCGCGCGCCCGAACTACCTGCGGCCTGCCTGCGCGTGCATCCGGCTACGCGTGGCCCCGTGCACCACTGGCCACCTACGCGCCTGCTGCGCGCCCATGTGCGTGCATAGTGCCCATTGGGCACCCGACTAGCATGCCTTCCATTCCTTCGGGCCACCTGGTATTTTAGCCACTCCCACCAGGTTTCACTTCTTCGATAAGCATCCCGAAACCATCGATGGCACGTCCTTTTGAGTCGTGGCCTCATTCGTGCTCGTCTACGCCAATGCGCGTGTTCGCGCACTTCTTGAATGAACTCTTTCTTGCGTATGAGCGTTGCTAGCCTCGTGACTATCTTCTTGCGTGTCCTCGTGCACTTCCATGTACGACCCTCATTAGCAGATTTGTGCACTCGTGCATCCCGTCCATGCACTCCTTGATCCAATCCCATCCGCATACGCGCTCGTACCCGTCTATTAGGCCATGCTTTCATCGTCTTGGCCCTATTTTCAGCCTCCCTGAGTCCTCTTGGCTCTCGGCCTTTCTTGTCACAGGGTTCCGGAACCCACTTCCGTATCACTGCGCCCGTGCGCATGCCAGCAACTCCTAGCCGTGCACGACCGTGCCAGCGAGCAGCCGACCCAAGTTTTCCTTATAATTTTTCCCGAACCCTTATGTGTCCTTTGACCTGTTTGACTTCATTCTGCGTGCTAGGACTATATGTGTTATTATTATGCTTTTTGGGCAAGTCTAGATGTAGGACCCAAGTGTTCCAATATCCACAGAACTTCACGAACTGATTGGTTGAATCAAGTTCGACCAATGTATGCTTGTGATTGTTCTCTAAGATCAAGTAGGTGTTGATCTTAGTATATAATTGTTGTAGGTGTCTGACGAGCCATGCTCGCTGCCTACACCCGTTTGTGTGCCATTTTCTCTGTTTCTATACCAGGTGGGTTCTAATCTAAAATTGTCTATGCCATGAATGATGAATGTTTATTCTTATGGGTACGATCTATGTATGAATATAAGATATGTAGCCTATCGACGTGAGCTGTTACGGCCGTCAGTACGGTTGTCCCCGTCGATGTAATACGGTTGCCCTTGTGAGGCAAGTCTCCTTAAGTCGTGATATGGACGTGCCCTTGCGAGGTACGTAAGCCCATATGGAAGGTCGTGTCCGTAGCGTGGCATGTACTCCCGCCTTCGGGTAATGAATCCCCGTTCTACGGCTAGCGATAGATGTGCACAGGAGTAATGTGGTTGTTGTGATTTTGATAGGAGATGAGACATCATGTGATTATCTTATATTCATGCTACGACCATACCATTTGACATATGTTATTTATGTGCATAGTAGTGAGCACTGTTTTCATCTTGTGCTCACTCCCACTTGCTCTTCACGGATGCAGGTTAAGAAGGTGTCGGATGACGGGGAAAAGACGAGTGGGTTGGTCATGATTATTATGTTTATGATTTCGCTTGCTTTATGAATAAAGTGTGGTCTTTGAGACATGTTTAACTGTTTTCGAACTTGTCCGTGTCCGGATTTTGGACCCTTTGTTTGATATTCGTATGAGAGTTATTTATGGAATATCATGTATTTTTGATTATGCATGCTATGTGGTTTAGCTAACAATCAGGTGGAATTGAATTTCAAAAGGTTAATGAAAACCATGTGAACAACCAGATACGACTTGGTTGATGTTAAATGTCGTATAACGCCCATGTTTCGAAAATGAATTCGAAAAATTTTATACTGGTTTTTGGAAAGTCTGGAATTTCTTTAAAATCAAAGTGGGGTGTTACAGTTCGGTTGAGTGCCAGTCTGCGTTTCTGTAGACTGGTTTATATGTGAGTATGTGTTTAGACCTTGTA